CGCTTCTGTACACTTTAATCGATTAAAATTCCTAATTTAATCGATTAATTCTCTCTGGTACAGAACATCAGCTTTCTTCAACGGCTTTATTTTCCTCAGCCTATTTAATCCCTCATTCTCCTTCATTTCAAAACACACCTCTTGCACTCCAATATATTTCTTTGAGCTATATTCATCCTTTGCTTCATCTTCCTCATCAAAATATTATTTTTGAGAGTTAGAAATATTTTTTCTTTGAGTGCTATAGAAGTTGTCATCCATAGAGCTTAAATCTTTCAAACATTACTTTGCTCAATTGTGTGAGCATTCATTCTTGTGTTGTAAACTCAATCTCATTTGAGTGTTGTTCAAAAGACTTGTGTGACTCAAGTCTTGTTGTTGTAAGAAAGTGAGGCTTGTGTGATTCAAGTTCTCAAGTTGTACCGGTTTTTCAAGCACCCGTTGAAGCTTGAAGATTAGTAGGACTTTCGAGAGAGTCTCTCGGAGGACTGGACTAGCCACGAGGTGGTGAACCAGTATAAATCCCGGTGTTCTTCTTTCCCTTACTCTCTTTACTTATTCCTGCGATAATTTTTTTTTTACGCGAAAAACGCACATTCTTGAAAACAACTCTATTCACCCCCCCTCTAGAGTTGCAAATTTGTCTAACACATCCTACCTCTTTGCAGACATAAATTGCTTGCGCAAAACAATATTGAAAGCAGAGAATTAGTGCCCAACAACATTTTTGAAATAAATAACAAACATATGTCTTATGTTATGCGGGACAATGTTTCTGAAATAATTAGCAGTCATATGTCTCATTTGATGCCCAACAACATTTGTCAAATAAAAGGCATTCATATGTCTCATAATGAAGATATAATTTTTCTCTCATATTTTCTTCTTGTGTAGTGTGTTATTTATTTTTCACGTTCTTGATATTTTAATAGTCTTACGCGCTTAAAATCCCAACAATTGGTATCGGAGCCAATTTACAATTGGGGCGGAGGGATTTCTAAGCGGTAAGAGAAGAAAGTCGAAGAACTTGAAAAATGGCATCGGTAAAAAGTTCGAATGTTTCCGTCGAACCTTTCGATGGACGTGGTGATTTTACTTTGTGGCAACAACGAGTAAAAAGTGTTCTTACTCGGGAAGGGACAATCAAAGCTCTGAAGGTAAAGGTTCAGAGGACAGAGAAAATGACGGATGCTGAGTGGGCCAAACATCGGAAGAACGACAAACCGGAAAAATTGTCGGAAGAAGAGTGGGAGGATTTGAAGGACATGGCAACAAGTACAATATGCCTATGCCTTGCAAATAATACTCTTCGAGAGGTTCTCGGTTTGACGGACCCGGTAGATATTTGGGACAAGCTGGAGAGCCGGTACAAGTCGAAATCGTTGACAAGTAGGCTATACTTGAAGAAACGATTGTTTGGTCTCCAAATGGCGGAGGAAGCTAACTTTAATGGAGACTTGGATGAATTCAACAAGATTACAACAGAGTTGGAATCCATTGATGTGAAGATTGAAGAGGAGGACAAGGTGCTGCTTTTGTTGGCTTCATTGCCTTCATCTTTTGACAACATCGTGACCACGCTTTTGTTTGGAAAAGAGACATTAAAATTTGATGAAGTAGTTGCTGCGTTGTTGATGAACGAGACTCGGTGGGGTGGCAACGAGGTATCAAATGACGGTCAAGCTTTGGTAGCAAAAGGAGCTGGTCGGGAACGAGGACGACCTAAAGAGAGGGGCGGCGCGTCCCAACGCTTCAAATCGAGTAGTAAAAGCTTTCGGTGTTACTACTGCGATGAAGAGAGTCATTTCAAAAGGGAATGTCCAAAGAGGAGGAAGGAAAAGAAGGACGGGAAAACACCCGTGACTGCGGTTGTAGAAAGTTCGAACCAAGCAAGTGAAGAAGACTTGTTTTTGGCAACCACAAAGAGTCTAGTTAAATCGGATTGGATATTAGATTCGGGTTGTTCGTTTCACATGTGTTCAATTAAGGAACAGTTTGATACGTATCAAACTTGTGATGGGGGTGCTGTGAAGATGGCAAATGGTGCACGAAGCAAGATTACAGGGGTCGAAACAGTGCAAGTTCGCATGTTTGATGGCGTGGTAAGAACATTAATTGGAGTGAAACATGTACCGGGTCTAAAAGGAAATTTGATTTCATTGGGGGCTTTAGATTTAGAAGGCTGCCGAATTTTTGCTCAAGGTGGAGTGTTAAAAATTTCTAGGGGAGCAATGGTGGTAGCAAAAGGAGTTTTGTCAAAGGGCTTGTATAAACTTGTTGAAAAAGATTTGACACGAAAGTTGTCAGAAGGAAAAATTACAAGTGCAACGAGGGGAGTATTTGCATGGAAGAAGCGGGTGACGTTTAAAGTTTCTCCAGCTGGTGGAAGCTGCGACCTCACTGGAACGAGCGAGGTAGAGCCGGACCAAGTTTTATTATTTAATCAAGGTGGAGTTTGTTGAGATATTTTTGATTAAATAATTGAAACAAAAAAAGGAAAAAAATGAGATGCTGCTCGGTGGAAACAACCAAGAAATGAGCACAATGATGGAGAGCCTTTTTTGGAGTTTTGTTGTCTTCTTCTTGGAGTTGTCCTAATATTCCCACTATTATGTTTTTTGGCTATTTAATAGCCATGGAACAACACCGTTGTGAGTGTGGGAGAAAAAAAATAGAAGGAAAAAAGAGGAAGGTTAAGAGAGAGGTCTACACAAGATATCACCAACATTGTGTGAGTGAGTGTAGGGAGTAACTGGTTTTAGTTACTCGGAAAAATACATCCAGGTGTAGGGTGTGAAAAGTCTGTTTATAAGTGTCTGGTATTTAGCACTTGTAAACAGGGAGAATTTTTTGTGTATCGTTCTGAAATAGTGAAGATATAATTTTTCTCTCATATTTTCTTCTTGTGTAGTGTGTTATTTATTTTTCACGTTCTTGATATTTTAATAGTCTTACGCGCTTAAAATCCCAACACATTATGTCAGTGCAGCTTCATACATTCTCCGGTACATAAGCTTACTTGGGGTTGGGAATGCATCCAACTTGGGTCATTTCTCTTCAATTAATGCATGACAGACCAAAGCAATGTCTCCCATCATGTAGCCTTTCCCGATCAAGCTTACACGATGTCGCCTCAAGAGAGATGGATCGCCGGCTGCGACAAGAGGATGGTCAGGCGGGGGTTAGTCGTACGCAAGGGGTGGGGGTATATGGGGTACACCACTAGGTACAAAGTGGTGTACCCATATCACGATTGCTAAGAATATTAATGTGTTGAGGTACACATTTGGTTAGCCCTAGCATATCCCAAACTTTTACCACATCGTACGATCGATTGTAGAAAAGATCTGTTTCATGAGCGATCATGCACTTCTTTCTCTCTGTTGCCGCTACATTCCACCACCATGGTTATCGCCGGCCTCATCGTGTTGGGTTTTGGGCTCACTTCTTTTGTGGAGGCCCAAGTAAAGCCCAATTCTTCACAAGCCCACTCTTTGATGAAATAAGAGGTTGACAAGAGGTGGAGTTAGAGACAGAGAGCAGAAAACGAGAGAGAGAGCAGAAAAATCGAGAGAGAAGGAAGCTGTTCATTTCTCGGATTTGTGTGCGCAGCGTTTTTCAGACTGATGTTTGGAGGGTCAAACGGTGTCCGATTGTTCTGAAATTTTAGGAGCAGGTTCGGGACACATTGAACTTGATTTCCACCGGTCAGTTTTGGATTTGGAGGTCTGCAGGCTGAGATATTCGAATCTGAACAGAGGCAGTATTTTCTGGTTTTTCTGCATATTCTCTAGTTGTTTGCTCCTTGTTGTGGCAGTATATTTGCAGTATCTTTATACTGATTTCAGCCCTTGTTTGAGACACTCTTGTACCCTATTTCTGGTCATAGTGGAGCTTGCTTGGTGGTCTTTGTGACCCGTGGTTTTTACTCTCGATTTGAGGGGTTTTCCACGTAAAAATTCTGGTGCATCCTGTCTTTATTATTTGTGCTTATTTGCTATTAGCTTGTTGCTGTTTTTGATCCTCTTACTCTTGCAAGTGGGGAATTAGTATTTGGTGTGGTTGTATTCTCTTCTTAATTCCCATCAGAGTGGTATCAGAGC